ATGAAGAGCTGGAGCTGATAGAAGAAGCTCATCCGCCTCTCCCCGGATTTGAACCTGTGACCTGTCGGGTTGTTGTTTTTTTCGGGCTATATGGCCATGTTCTACAGGCATTTTCTCCTGACGTTTCACCTGCATCTATGGCAAGCATCCTAAGAGGTAGTGAGGACTATCGGTCTTCAGTCCTGCCGGCACAGGGGTTTAACCCACTGTGCCATCGGGGGCTCCATACCAATCTGAAGTGAAATTTTATCATATGTACCAGGGAAATCCAGAAGGTACTCCTAGTCCCAGCATGAAGTGGCAATGCTGTGTCTCCTGCTCAGTTGGAGCAAATATGAGGAAAGTCTCAAGAATAAAGGAAATTCAACACTAATGAGGTGGAATACACAGGGAACCTGAGTTAGAGTTCTTATGGATGAACTCTAACTAGGGCAGTGTAGACATTTATATTTTCACTCACATTTGATTATTTTATATAAAATATTAAGGATTTTAAAATGACAGAAATATTAAAGAAATTAAATTGCATAAAGATCTCAATTCTTAGCTCATCTTAGTATCATCAGAGGGATCTTCTTGCTTTCAGTCCATGATAATTTATGACTCTACTGCAGGCAAGTCACATGAGTGTTGGCTTCTCCCCATTACCAATTTGACAGAAGTGAGTTATTCTGTCTTGTTCAAACCTGCTCAGGTGTGGTCTGTACTATCTGTGACAGATGAAAGATTACATTCTATCTTGAAATCAGATTCCTCCACAAAGAATGTGTCTCCTCGAACAGTGCAGAAGATGCTGTATAGTCTGTGGGAAACATAGCAAGGAAGAATGGGATGCATTTCTCTCTGTGGTGTCATTTGCAAAGAAGGGATGATTGTCGTGGAAACTTCTGTGACAATTGCATCCTCACTTTCATTACCCTTAATTTAGCGAAGTTGAAGTTTTAAAGTTAGATTTCAATGATCAGGATTTTGCATGTTTATTCTATGTAATCAGTCAGACTTTTGTCCTGGTTTGCACCCAGTTCCATAAAATGATTCTGAATAGTGAAGTAGAATAGAATGGTCTTGTTTTGGGACTAAATGATGTTTTCTTTTTCTTTTTCAACATATTCTGTGTTTAAGAGGATTTAAAAAGCAATACTATGTGTATTTTTGTTCACCATTTGCACATTTGCTCTATATGCGTTAGAAAAGAGCGTAGCATGGAAAAGGCCCAAGCATAGTCCCTCCCTAACATGAAAACAACCTGAAGTTTCCTCACTTGCTCAATTATTTAATGAAAAAAGTAATTGAAAATTCATTACTTAGTTACAAAAGAAAATTAGGTCCATAATTTTGGAAACACTCTAAAAAATGATTCACCCCCTCCCCAATTTAGTAATGAGTATTGAAACATTTTTCCCCCATTGGTAGCCCAGCCCTAATATATGAAATTTATTCATGTTTAATATACCTTATAATTATATAGCCTGCGGTTAATTTTATTCACAATATTTTAATGATTTTGTGTATAAAATAAAATGTGTTTACACTGTGTACTTTGTCACTATCTCAACCATCCATATGGACCATTGTGCAATTTGGAGCGTTTTGAATTTCAGAAGGGATGCTTAACTTGTATTATGTTTCCTTAAAGCCCACTGGCATTTTCTTTCTGTCATTTTTCAAAATGAGCTTTAAAGATTTATTTTCATGCCTGCCCTGGGGAGAACCTATCAATCAATACCAACAATATATAAGTCAATACTGGTCTGCGTGAACCATTGGTCTTCCTTAGTATAAGACAGTCTTCTTAAAATCATCTTTCATCTGCATCAGTGTTCTCCTCATTTTCCACGTTGTTTTAATCCTGCTGCTTTTGTGTTGGAAGTGAACATACAGATGGTGATGGCATTCTTCATAATGCCTAATTCTGCCAGAAAAACAAACAAACAAGCATATCTCATACATACCTGCCCATCAGTTCTTGTTGTCTGTTCAGAAGCTAGGTAGCTTTTTTCTCTACTGAAGAAAGTCCTTAAATTGTGATATAACCCAAATGATAGCATTATCTGTAGCAAATCTAGAGTCTATCCCCTTTCTTCCACATTTCTACTATATTTTAATACATTTTCAAAGTTTCTGTGTCAGTCGATTGCAGTATAAGAAGGAAGGAGGAAGGGAGGGTAAAAAGTAAACATTTCCCCTGACATTAAGTTTATTCATGTCTGACTCTGGGGGGTGGTGCTTGTCTCCTTTTCTAAGCTGAAGAGCTGCCATTGTCAGTAGACACCTCCAAGGTCATGTGGCCAGCATGACTGCATGGAGTGCTGTTACTTTCCCACAGAAGCGGTACCTATTGAGCTACTCACGTTTGTATGTTTTTGAACTGCTAGGTTGGCTGAAGCTGGGGCTAACAGCAGGAGCTCACCCCACTCTCTGAATTCAAACCACTAACCTTTCAGTCAGCAAGTTCAGCAGCTCAGTGGTTAAACTACTGCACCACCAAAGGGATGATAGTGTAGGGTAAAGAAAGGAATGTAACATTATGTTAAAATATAACTTTTTATTTTACCATGAGCTTTTAAAGATATAAATCCACTTCTTTATATACAGTACAAAGTGATATTATGATCCTGGGTTATAAAGCATATACAGGGGGTCTTGATATCTGCCATGGATATCAAAATCTATGGATGCTATAGTTCCATTATGTACAATGGCACAGTTAAATGGTGTTGTGATGATTAAATGCAGTAGGAAAGGGGGGGGGGCATTTACATTTCATGATGGAAAGGGAGAGAAGAGGAAGAGTGAGGGGGAAGGAGGGAGGGAGGAAGATTGGAATGTGATTGCATTTAAGGAAGAATGATAGATCCCCATTCTCATACTCAACACGCACACATCCATACATGCACACAACCTAAAATAGTCAGATTACCCCTTGAATGCATATAAGAACATAATAACACTCAGTCTCCTCAATTAGATGACATTTTGCAGAGTGCTCTAAATGGGAACAAATAACTATTGGCACACATACAGTGTAGTATTTCGTTGTGCGTATTAGTTTAATATGCAGAGTATTTGCACAATAAGGCTGTAAGTCTGTTTGCATTGCTCCATTTGATGGCTGTGTAAACACCAAAATAAAATAAATCTCACAGTTTTGTTTTGCTTAAAAAATCCAATTGCTCGTTACCAATTTACCGCACAAGTACATGTTGACATGCTTCCTATTTCTGCAATGTAGGGGTGGAAAATAAACATTTCCTCAGAACATAAACTTGCAAGGAAGATAAGATTTATCTTTGCATTGCTGTCCTTTGGCTAAAAGGAGAAGGGCAGGGGAACCAAATATTTCTCTCTTTTTGTTCTGCCTAGTAAAGCTTTTCCACGTGTTCTAAGGTTAGAGTCAAAGCAATCTTGCAGTTGAGAAGTAGAGGTACACCTTCGAAGCAATCTTTTTTCAGAAGATCACGTTTTTACCTTGGGGCGGAAAGTGTAGGCACTGATGGGCAATCTTCTGTTAAAATCTTTTCCTGGTTGCTGTAAAATTTTCATCCCAGCCTGTCTATACCATTGGCAATATGATTAGCCAGGACCTGACAGGGCTCTGAGTTAAGTACAGCAAGTTTCCAAAAAGCATTATATTATTCTCCTGATATGTAGGACTTAGAAAAGTTACATTTTTGACTCTAATCTGTGATTTAGAATCCAATAAGTGCCTTTTTTTATCCAAGTTATAATCAAACCACATTTTTTAATTACAGAGATATAATAGGAAATGTGCCCGGAACTTGGCATTTTCCATCCTCCATGCTGCTCCCTAATGTTATTCTAGGACAGTGGTTCCCAAATTTGGGTAATCCAGAGTCCTCATCACATGGGAAAATTCCTGGTCATAGAACAGAGACCTGCCAGATATCATCACATGATGCACATCTACTTCCAGTGGGGCTCTGTGTTGGCTGTGTTGGCTACAAGGGAGAAATCTAAACATGGGAGACTACCTGTGTTCAGATAGGAAATCATGGAGACAGTGCAGGAGCATGCCAGAAAGGTACTCATTCCAGAATGTGATGGGCAAGCTGGTGATGTGGCCGATGGGGGGCAATGGGTGACCAATTCCCCACAATTTGCCCCGCTGCCCCTCAATTTTTCCTGATGTCTCCCACATCAAGGACCTCCATGTGATGGGGTCCCATGTGAATTGAACTTCTATTCCCAGAAGCACCAGCCAGTTTGTTTAAAGGTAGGAATACTGGGAGCTGAAGTCCAAAGTATGTGAAGGACCAAAGTTTGGGAATCACTCCTAGTGTGTGTGTGTGTGTGTGAGTGAGAGAGAGAGAGAGAATAAAAGTGGCAGATGATTAGAAGGGTTTTCTCCCAGAGTGTTCTTTTTCTGAAGATAGATTTTAAAAAATCTCAGAAATTTTCTCAGAAAAAAGGAACTCAACAAATTTCAGCTTCACTTTATCTACCATACACATGTTTTGTGATACACATTGAGCATCCCTTATCCAGAACTCCAAAAATTTGAAATACTCTCAATCCCAAAATTGTCCACATGGATAGCTGGATATTTTGACACCTTTGCTTTCAGATGGCATAGTGTACACAAACTTTGTTTCATGCACAATATTATTAAAAGCATTGTCTACAATAACTTGGGGCTTTTATTAGGTCTGTATGAAACCCACATGAATTTCTTATTTAAACTTGGGTCTCATCTCTGACATATCTCATTATGTACATACCTGCAAATACAGGTATTCCAAAAGAGAGTGAGAGGAAAAAAAACAGTCACTATGAATCCAAAACTTTCTGTCTCTTGACTCTTTCACATTCACTGGTAATTGTGCAAGCAGCTTTCTGCCTAAAAGTGAAAGTGAAGAGACAAACAGATTTCAAAAGGGCAAATGGGGTGGGGGTGGGGGGACAGGATGGGACGAGAAGTTCAGTGGGAGGGTCCAAAATAAGACAGCTACTGTGTTGTCCGAAGCACATGTTAATTCAGCCCAGGAGATCAAAGAATGTGATGTCACTTTATAGAGAAACAGGTCAGGCAAGCCCAGGTAACTCAGGAAGGCAGGTTGCTAATTATTCACCGAAGAAAGTTAGGTGTATGGTTACATTGCTGCAGGAGGAAGTCAGGAGGTCAAACTTTCCCAGTAACTGACTCAACTGGTCACTGCCTGGAACCTGCCGAAAGAACCCTTTCTCCCTCCCTCCCTCTCTCTCTCTCTCTCACACACACACACTCCTAATATTGAAAAAATGGGAGAGACTGAAATGAACTTTCCAAAACCTCCTTTGCAAGGTAAGTGTGTGCAAATGGAGAGATCATTATTGTTGCCTGTGAGAATTAGGGATTATACTTGAAGACTTTAATGTTTAGCTTTCAGCAGTGACTGTCATACCTGGTGGAGCTTTGGCTTTCCACGTGTGTGTGTTTTCATGGAAAGAGGGGGGAAACCACTCCCTCTGTGTGATTTGTCAACGCGTCTATTTTGTTTTGTTTTTTCTTGGAAATACTTCTTTGACTCCTAGGAAGCTATAGAGGTGCCCCTGCACAATTTCAATCAGGCTGCAGCCATGCCATAGTAGAGCAAACATTGATGTGAAGTTTCCAGAGGGGCAACTGTGTCAGCCTGTTGCAGAAAAACATGACAAGAAGTCCTGTGGTGCCTCAAAGATGAACACATTTATTATGGCAGAAACATGTCCTTTAATGAATTGGTTAGGCTTTCAAGTGCTTCAGTGCTTTTTGAAGGTTTACATGTTCTGAGACTTGTGGATTTCCGTGTTATGTTTTATGAAATTCTTCGTTTTGGTTTGCCATCAATGTTGTAACATGCCTCCAAGTTAGCTCTGACTTACAGTAGCCATATCCTATAGTTTTCTTGAAAGGTTTATTCAGAGGTTTGCCATTTCCTTCTTGTTAGGATGAGAGAATGTGCTCGGTCAAGGTCACCCAGTGGGTTTCCATGGCTGAACAGAGATTCAAAACATATTCTCCAGTCATAGAGCAATGCTTAAACCACTACACTGTACTGGCTCTGTAATTGTACTTCCTGAAATCTTTGTCTGATTCTGTTTGTTTTAGGGAGAGTACACTTTAGCTAAGTATAGTATTTAGAGAGAGTGTGCTTTCTCTTAAAGAGAGAGTACACTTTTATTTTCCAACAATGTTAATGAGGCCAAGAGTAACACAGTCCAATTAAATATAGGTAGTTGCCAATTAACTGGTCCCTCTTCCAGTGAAATAAATCCACCAGTATGTACAGGATCAACATAAATATAAATTAGCATAGCTAAATAGTCTCATCCCAAATGTCCTTGATTGAGTAGTAATCCCCACTGGAGGATATTTCTGAAGGATACCTATTGTAAAGGTCACAGTCTATCCTTTGAGATCTACATGCCCTAAAATGTTATTTCTAAAGGACTGGCAAACTCGAAGAGTTGAAAAATACATGTATAAGGAAAGGTAGGAAATTGGCAATGGGTTGAGGTGGAACCCAAAATCTAATAATTGGAAATCATCACTTATCAAAAACTTGAAGGAAGGTAATTCCAAAAATGAGTGACTAAGGGGTAGATTATTTCTTTCTGAGAGTTTGATGAAGTATTGAAGATTTTTTTTCCATTTGTGGAAGTTTTTCTCTTGCTTCCTTCCAAAAAGGCCATCTTGTTCCAGAAGTGCTGATCCATCACCACAGACATAGGATTTTGGAATATCCCTCTGCAAACCATCATATCTACATTTGGAAGCTCTATTGAATTTGGTTGGGATTGATCCCAAAATAAATCTGTATATGATTGCATTATTATTCATTTTTGCACTCCATGTTCTTTTGCTTTGGTTAGATGATCTCCCCCTTTGATTTAGTCACTTTAGATTTGCCATGATAATAGTGCTATCCTCCGAATATTCTCACTTTTTAACTCTAGTATATCCTAACTATTCATGGTAGACTTATTCTACCTGTATAGTGTAGACCATTCATCCCTTGTACATGTCTGAAAAGACAGAAGCACTGCAGTTCTCTCAAAGGAGCTAATGGGGATAGGACCATTTTGCTTTCTCCACTCCAATATATATATACTCCTATAACATCCTTGGATCTTTAGAATAAATATTTACACCCTGTCTCTTTCACCAAAAGCATTTTCTAATTCTTCATTTTAATTCTGAGTGCCTCAAGCAATGAACCTTCCTTGAGAAGCTAATCCACAGTTTCATGGATCATACTCTTTAGGATAATTACCCTTAATTGTTCTTTCTACTTGATTCATTCCACCTCTATCCTTAATCTCCCTTAGGTATGTAACTGAGACTGGGGCTCAGCACATGGACTTTAAGAATCATGGGGGACTTTTTTTTGTGTCAGGAGCGACTTGAGAAACCGCAAGTCGCTTCTGGTGTGAGAGAACTGACTATCTGCAAGGATGTTGTGCAGGAGGCACCGGGATGTTTTACCATCCTGTGGGAGGCTTATCTTATGTCCCCAAAAAGGAAGCCTAAGCTGACAGATAGGAGCTCACCTCATTCCTTGGATCTGAACCACCAGCCTTTCAGTCAGCAGTCCTGCTAGCACAAGGTCTTAACCCATTACACCACCAGGGGCTTCCCTTTTGTCTAGTGAAGGGAATCCTACCTTTTTATCCCCAATCACCCTGTTTCAACTTCTGTTTTCCCATCACACGTGTTTCCCTCTTCAGTTTTCACCCTGTTTTCCCCCGTTATTGCCCGTATTTGAATCCTCAGGAAAATTTTCAGTAACAAAAGTGAAGATTACTATGAACCTCATCCCATTTGAGAGGGAAATCAGAGGAATTTTAAATCCCTTTGCCCTTACAAATCTTTCCCATGTTGTCCTTTCCTTTAATAGACCAGTGTAATTTTAAACCCTTTGCAATCATCCCATCTTGCAAGGATGTGCTTCCCTTTGTTAGACCAGAATAATTTAAAAACCCTTTGGCTTTATAAGTCTTTCCCATGCCTTCCTTCCCTTCATCTGATGAAGTCTTTAGTCTGCATTCCAGCTATGGAGAAAGTCACACAAAGTTTGGGTCTTCAAAGGTTGTTTCTCTCTCTTATCCCCCCCCCCCCCCCCCCACACACACACACACCCACACTTCTCCCCTATGTTCTTGTCTGGCATAAATGTGTAGAAGCTAAAGAAATATGAGGAATATAGTCACATGATTTGTTTATTAATAGAGGTTCTTATCCTGTTAAAACTGCATAGCAGGCAAACATGAATAGTAGAATCACAGTGTTAGAAGAGGCCACAAGGGCTATCCAGTCCAACACCATTCTGTCATGCAGGAACCCACATTTAAAGACCTCTTCACAAATGGCCACCCAGCCTTTGTTTAAAATCTGACAGACTCCACCACACTCCCAAGCTGCACACTCCAGTGTCAAAGAGGTCTCGCCATCAGGAAATTCTTCCTCGCATTAGAATGAATCTGTTTTACTGCAACTTCAATCCATTGATGTTGCAGTCTCTAGAGCAGTAGAAGACAGGCTTGCTCCATCTTCAATATGACGTCACTTCAAAAGTGTAAACATGGTTATCATGTCCGCTCTTAATCTTCTCTTTTTCAAGCTGAACATACCATGTCCCTAAGCAGCTCCTTATAGGGCTTGGCTTCTAGATCTTTAACCATTTTGACCACCCTTCTCTGGACATATTCCAGTTTATTGATATCCTTCTTGAATTGCAGTGCCCAGAATTGGACACAATATTCCAACTAAGCGCAGGAACATGGAAAATATTTACCAACATGATACATTTCTTATGATAATTTATGTTTGTCTTAACATCATCTTTATTTATTACTTAAATTTTCCTCAAAACTGGGAATCAATGTATTGGGTTTTCAAATTTGTATATAGATTCTTTCAGGCTGCGGTGTGTGTGTTTAGTTGTTACATATTTGGGTTGTTTTAACACAGTTGCATCATTCTCACCAGACTAGAAAACCTATCTTGTTGCATCTTCTAAGCATGCCAGTGATGGTATAGTTGATCTTAACTATGACTTCATTGAAATAAGTTATCTTCAAGGTGAGGTTTGTGGATCTCATTTGTTTTGATTAAGTGTTGTTGTTGTTGTTGTTTGCCTTCAAGTCATTTTCGACCCTAAGATGAATCTATCATAGGGGTTCTTTTTCAAGATTTGTGCAGAGCAAGGTTGCCTTTGGCATCCTTTGAGGCTGAGAGACTTTGACTTGCTGAAGATCATCCAGTAGGTTTCTATGGCTGAGTAAGGATTCAGACCCTGGTCTCTAGAATCATAGTTGAAGGCTCAAATCACTAGACCATTCTGACTATGCTTTGATTTATTCTTGTTAATATTAAATACAGGTTAGAGATAAACTGTAACACTAAAAGCTAGGAGAAAATTCCAGTGTCTCACAAATATACCAGAGGAAGGGGAACTCAAAAGCTGATCCCACCCCAACATGCCAGCCCATACTTTCTTTGAAATATTCCCTCAATGAAGAAAACTACCATAACGAGGAGGAGGCTAGGTAAGAACCCTTCATCCAGAACACCTTAGTGTTCTATATAAAAGTAGTTTGAATTTTTTGTTTAGGGATGCATCCCATTGGTTTAAATTTTAATCTACAGTTCAAGGATGCATCATTGAAATAAGTAAATAGAAGGAGAACTACTCCAATCATGTTGCAGGTTTAGACTGAACTAAAGGCAAATAATATATCGACTGTTAATATGCATTCTGATACTTTATTTTCAGCATGAGTTAGAACACTTGAGAACACAATTTGCAAGTCTTTGTTTTTACCTCCTTTTCACCGTTACACTAAAAGCTCTCTCCACTTAAAGTGAAAGACATTTTTTTGTCAGAAAATGTGAAAGATAGTACCAATTCTCTCAAGACTTTATTAACTGTTGTGTTTAAAAGCTGAACAGTACCAATCCCATATCCATCCATACACAGGGCCTAGCAGAGAAAATAAAATAGAAAAGCTTAATCTTCTTTTTCTAAAATATATTCTTAAATATTTGTTCATAATTAAGTATTGGCCTAATAGATGAGGAAGAAAAAAAGACAGTGACAAAAATGGTTGCTGGTTAAGATGGAGCAGGAAATTAAAGGGTGCCAGGAATCCTAACTAAGAGGAAGTTACCATAAATATATAAACTCATAGGGAAGTAAGATATAAACTAGTAATTAGTGAGTAAGTGCATGCAAATGTTGCTAACTGTACCATAATATTGTGGGAAACAATTGCCTGAATTCTGTTGTTAGTGCTGACTTGAGTAGACACATTGAATAAATA